GCGTGAATAGCGACACGATATACAGCCTTCATGCAAGCGCGCAGTCTTTTCATAGAAATAGTACAATACTTTATTAGCTGCTATTCGTCTTTCAAACTGATCTTAAACGTTATCTGAGTAGAATGCGATAAAGAATTATTACATACGTGACAACCATCGTATTTTTTTATGGTGTTCAGTGACAAACGAGCAGACAAACCACTGATGGAAAGCAGTACCTGTCGCCCATAACACCTACGGTTCATGCTTAGGTTTTATGTAACAAAAATTCAGAACCGTAGGTGCGTTGTCACTGCGAGGACTAAGATGAATGCCTTTTGCCTATAATTGCGCTGGCTACCTTATCCCTCAAACCGGAACACAACAATGTAATTTTGTTGCTTGGCGGGAGAAATAGATAAGGGGGTGATACCCATCCAGTCGGACTCCTCAGGCTTGACACAGTCCTACCACCGGTATGCTGGGAAGACTGATAGTTGCTAAGGACATTGGATTCAAATATATAGATAGTTTATTACCTACACAGATTAGATATAGAAATGCATGGCGCATTTTACATGGCATTTTGAAGCAATCATGGATAATAAACTATATTGAGTCGTGAAAGTCGGTAAATTATTATACAAATAGAAAGAAATAAAAAAGTAAACAAAAGTAAATTTATATAATAACACTAGCAGAACTCGCGGTTTCGCCCGCGTTTAGTCTACGAAAAAAAAACTCTTCGGCTTTATGTTATACAGCGTATATTTACATATATAATATTGTTTATACAAAAGTAACGAAAATCGAGTTTAAAATATCGGGGGTTGGAGTAGGAAGGTGAAAAATACTTTACGACCTATTCTCATATCTACCAAATATACAAAAAATTATTAAAATCGGTCGAGCCGTTTCGAACCACAAACACAGTGACACGTGACATTTATATGAGTATATTAGATAATAATATAGTAATATTTCTCATTAAATTGTATAATAATAATAAAAGTAACTATTGTAGTACAACAATACGATGAATACGGTTGTATTTTCCATTTCGATATGCATTAAGTAAACTTATATTTCCAAGCTATTCGATATCGGCGTACTGTTATAACTGGCAATTTATGTGCAAAATAGTCGATTACGTAAATGAACCATATTTCGTAGGCTACCATTATTTACATGGTTTATGTATAAGAATGTTATAGCCCGAACAGCCTACATACTACTGTGGGTAAAATTTTAATAAGGGTGTGCACACATTAACGAAACCAGGGGTAAAAAAGGGCAGGGCGGGCGTAAGGGCAGATACGCGTAAATACCTGCCCTAATGTTTGGGCTTAGACAAGACGAATTGTACAATCATTTATACTAATCGACTTCTAAACTGTGTTGGAGCTAAATATTTAACGTTTAGTATAGATTTCTCAAAGATTATATATTTTCCTGCTGTAAATAGTATCCTATATGTTGACCTGGATAAACAGTATCATCATCCCAAATTTCATCAAAATCTGTTTAGTGGTTTTCTTTTAATGCGTTCTCAGACAGACAGAAATTCTAAAACCTATAGATTCGGCCTCTGTAAGTAACACTTCAATAAGATTTTCCAAAAAATATATAATGTACAGATTCGACTCAGAATTTTATTATACATATAGATTTATATTGTTTATTGTTGAATCAATAAATATCTTTTTTTTAATTCATGAATAGGATAGAATACTGTTAAATATTTAAGAGCTTTTTCACTTAATACTTCGTAAGAGATATTTAATAATATATTAATTTTTACGTTTGATTAACCATAGGTACCAAATGTATGTATATAGGTATCACATATTATCTTATTACATCCATACATGAAAATAGAATATGACAAATAGACACACTAAAAAACACACACGGAAAAATAAAACAAAATAAATATAAATAAATAATAAAAATGTTATATTTTAACTTAGATGGATTATAAAATAGCTGATTATTTCTGCCTCAGCTACATCATTATTGTTACTGTGGAACATTATTCAAAAGCTAACAGACTTAAAGAAGTAAGCTTTGTGGACTATTCTAACATAAGCCGTATGCTTTGACAAAAAAAAATATTGAAAGAATTTTTACGTGAGCTAAAACCCACTAATATAAGTTTGTGAGGATGTATGGATATTTGTTACTCTTTTACGCAAAAACTACTGAATGGATTTTAATGAAACTTTATGATAATATAGCTCATATATCAGAATAACACATAGGCTCCTTTTTATCCCGGAAGATTTTACGATTCCCGAGGGATAGATTAGTTTTTGTTTCTGTAGAGGCGACCCTGAGCGAAGCAAGGGTGATCCGTTAATATTAAATAATGAAAATATCTATCAATTATTTTTATTATTCTTATTATATACTCGTAAATATATCTTCCATAGTTAAAAAAGAAAGATCATTTTTTTTTATTTTACGTACTTTTTTATTATTCATTATGTTTTAAATATTTTATTATAGAGAAATATAACAAAATGTGCAAGGTGCATTCACCCCAATATGAAATTTCGAATTGTTGAATTCTCGTGAAACACGTTGCATGAATTCTGAATTCCATTGGGAGACATCTTGTTATCACTATTTCTGGACGCTCGTACTTACTCTCTAGGGCTCTACAAATACTAAAACGTTGCGAGGAAAATATGGATAGTGAGTAGTGACTAAATGTTGCCAATGTAAGCTACAAAAATATAGTCTTACGAGTACTAGCATTGCCCGCGACCCCGCCCGCGTTCAGATGATCAAAAAACAAATTCTTACGTTTTACATATTAGTATACTCTTACATTGCAGTTCTTGTATTATTTCTCAGAAATGAGACGTTTTCCCGCGGTAAAAAGTATCCTATATGTTGACCCGGATAACCAGCTAGCTAAAAAATTATAAATACAAATGTATACTTAGTTAGTCGACTCATAATAAAATGATAAAGTACAGATAAGTTAGTTTATTTGCATTTTCTGAACAAGTTTGCAGTTGAATAACATTTTAGTTTACATTCCAATAAGTTCAATTTAACATTTAAATATTCAATATTGGTAACGACAGACGGTGCAAAAGAAAAATTGCTCGTAGATGGGAAAGTTTCAAGTGCTTTAAAAATATATTTACAGAAGAGATGTTTGTTCAACGAGGTGGCTTTAGTACACCTACTTAATTAAAAATTGTAAAAATTATTTACTGCAAAAGTCACCAGCAAATGTTTTTCTTGAGAATTTAGTACTTTTTGCTTGTCTAATTGTCGATACTCGACCAGCGAAGTACGAGTATGTATGTATATTGTATATACATATCCATATAAAAAAAAACTACTTCCAATTTTTTTTATTGATAGCACTCTAGCTCATCAATAGCAACTAAACAAAAAGATTAAAAATCGGTTAACAAACAGAAGTTAAGAAGTACTGAATTTTAATGTATTTTATTTAGCATAAAACAAAAATAAGTTCGATATCTATTACTAAAGGAAGTAACAAATCTCAAGAGATTTTTAGATTTGGACTACCGAGACTGTCTCTTAAATATATATATATATATATATATATATATATATATATATATATATATATATATATATATACCATATTATCGTTAAGGTATACATAATACTAACATAAAATAAACAAAAATAGATACATATATAAACCTTTTTTTACAGAAAATCGTTTTAAATTACTCTTTATTTAGATTCAACTCGTTGTTTTTAACACTATAGCGTTCTATTCTTCAAAAAACGCGTACTATTATTCGTAGTCAGTTTACTCATTGGTCAAAAACATAATTTATTAAATTTTGTATTAAAAATTATACTACTGATACTGATACATACAAATATATTCGAAACACTCTAAGTAATGGAGGTTCAAAGTAAACCACAAACTACAATTTCTAGAATTGCAAATGTATACTTATCTAGTCTTTTAGACTAATGTATGAATTATTGCAACTATTTAATATTTTCTTTCTAAGAAATATTTAATAGGAAATTGTTACAGTAAATATAAACAAGAACATTTTGTATTTTAAAATTTATTTAAAACTAGCATTGCCCGCGGCTCCGCCCGCGTTCGGATGACCAAAAACCAAATTATTAGGCTTTACATATTAGTATACTCTTACATTGCAGTTTTTGTATTTTTTCTCAGAAATGAGACATTTTCCAGCGGTAAAAAGTATCCTATATGTTGACCCGGGTAACCAGCTATCATCATACCAAATTTTATCAAAATCACCCCAGTGGTTTTTCTGTGATGCGGTAACAGACAGACAGACAAAAATTCTGAAAACTATAGATTTGGCCTCTGTATCGATAATAATGTTTATTTCGATAAGATTTTTCAAAAAATATTTTATGTACATATTTGGCTTAGTTACAATTTTATTATATGTATAGATAAAAACATAATATACCTAATATTGTATTATAATTAGATATAAATCTAGAAATGATTTATTAAGCCATATTTTACTTATAATATTACGAATGTTATTTTGTTAACTTTTGTTGGATATTCAAGCTTAAAAAAATGTACACGTATAACTTGCAGAATACCATAGACTATAATATTTCTGATAAAAAACATAATTTTCACAGGTAAGATATAGAATAAAATCTCGAAATATACACGAACATGTAAGCAATGTTGTAAAATTCTTAGACTGGAAGTCTACTGAATGAATTTCGATAATATGATAAGCCACCTCCCTCCATTTTATCTTTCTAAACACCGACAAAGTTAACTTATCTTTCCCAATCTTATAAACACAAAAATATATTTATCTTTTTTTCACGCAACAGCAACAGATTCACAGCTACTAACGAGACGTATGTTTTGCGTACAAAGTGACAGAAGTTCCTCTTCTTCCGGTGTACAAAATAATTCTCGTGGGGTATAGACCTATTCCAATATAATCCTTAGGATAACGAGGGCCTGTCACAAGTGCTTAGTATTTTTCGTAACTTAGGATTAATTACCCACGAAATTCTGGTGGTGGTTTTGAAATATGGCCCCACCTACTATTAAATAGACCAATATACTCGTAATCATAGTCGAGTGGTTTGTACTGTCTTCGATGAATAGGTTTTTTAGAACCTTTGTAACAATATAGAGCATTGGCTGGATTATAAAAAAATGACGAACCAAAAAGGCCTGTTAATGATTGAGGATACTTATTGTTTTCATACAAATCGAACCCACTATCTGAGTGGTCAGTGGGTTCGTCGTATTCTAATCCAGAATCATAAGTAGGTGATCTCGTCTTCCTCTTATATTTAGTCTGTGCTCCGAATTTAGCTTTCCAATATGACCACATGCTATGTTCTGGTACACCTTCTAACTTCGATCTCGAACTGTTTATACCGTGCCATGATAGTAGATATTTTGACAATTTATGTTTTTTACACTCTATAAAGTTTATAACAAATAATAAAAGAGTCAAATAAAATAATATTTTCATTATAATTCACTAATTCAATCACGTCTTCGTCCGGGCTATAATAAACGTCGTATACATTTGATAGCATTCTGTGACTTCGTCGAGCTCCGAGAATTTTCTATACTAATTAACGAAGTGGAACTGTCTGTCTATAATTTTAAAGCTGATAACTACGTTTGCAAATACTATTGTAATTGTTAGTTATGAGTTATATAGAGAAATAGCGACTCATCCGCTCGGGTTCCTTCCTAGTTAAGTTTTAACGTTTATTTATTGTATATTTTTCCGCAGTAAAAAGTATCCTATATATTCCCGATAAACAGCTATCATCATACCAAATTTCATGAAAATCTGTCGAGTGGTTTTCTCATGATGCGGTCACAGACTAACAGACAGACAGACAAAAATTCCAAAAACTATAGACTCTGTCTCTCTATCGATAAAGGACTATTTCAATAAGATTTTCCAAATAATATTTAATGTACAAACTCCACTTAGTTGGAACTTTATTATATTATGTATCGATTTTAAAGACGTTTATCGTTCTTATAATGAAAAAGCTTTTACGCAGGAAAGCTCTATTTTATATCATAATTAATTTTATCTATTATTAATCAACAATAAGCTTTATCTTTACATTCTTTTGAAAATAGAATTTAATTAAAAGCAAGCAATTAACAAAGTGAGAGTGGTTCATTAGTGATTTCAAATATAATACTATATATATATATATATATACACGTACAATCTGGTATATAGTTCAATAATACATTGATAAGAGGTCACATAAACAAAACAAACTAATAACAACTGTTTTAAAATAATCTCGGTTCAGATAAAAAACTGTAATACATTGTAATATATATTATACAATATACATATAATAAAATTCTAACTAAGTCGAATCTGTACATTAAATATTTTTTTGAATATCTCATTGAAATAGTCCTATTATTATCGATACTGAGGCCGAATCTATAGTTTTTAGAATTTTCGTCTGTCTGTCTGGAAACGCATCACGAGAAAACCACTGGACAGATTTAGATGAAATTTGGTATGATGATAGCTGGTTATCCGGGTCAACATATAGGATACTTTTTACTACAGGAAAATATTTCATACTAACCTTCGAAGATACACAACCGCGGGTACACCGGTGTGTCAGTTAACAATTAATTTCTTAGAAATTAACCTGGATGAGTAAACGTAAAGGGAGAAACCCGAGCAGAGCGAGGGCGAGTCGCTAGTTCTATTATATTATATTCTATTATTAGGTATATTATAAGAAAGGTGTTTAAATATTTAAGCATTTAATCACAAAAAAGGATGTTCGTAGGTATTTCAGATTAAAACTATAAAATATTGGAATATCCTCTCACAACGAAAAAACTGCAATTCCAGTAACAACTTTTCAAACTTTATATTCAGCTCCATACAATAAATGATGCAGCCTTCGCCCACTCTCGTAAAACCCCAAGGCAAAAATAACACTTTATGATATACTATGTACGTGCCAATAACAGCTAGCTTATAGGTAGTATAACAAAGCACAATGTTTCTACTTCATGAAGAGAGTGAGTGGTCTTGAATAAATTGTTGGTCTGATAGATTGTTATGCCGAATTTCCGGTGGAATATGTCGAAAACGGGTGGCTTCTCTTATCATTTCTGTTATGGATAATTAAGATTTATTTATTTCTGTTGTACTTTTAGGTATATACTAGCGAGTCATCCTCGCTTCCCTCGGCTTCGTCCCGAGGTAATTCTTTGAATTGACATTTATTTTTTTATGCACCGATTGAAATAAAATAAACCGCACCCAAACAGTTAAGTCGTTTCTGAGATCAGCGCGCACAAATGCAGATAAACAGACAAACAAACAAACATATAAACGTACTAAAAATCCTTGTTTTAGGTTCTATTGCGTTAATAAAGGCCCCCAATAATAGTTTATCTCAAATATCTTCCATGTACAGACAGCGATCAGTTACACTTTTATTATATGTATAGATTTCAAATTAAATTGTAATTATCAAACAGGACATAAAAATTTTATCCACCTTCTAAAAGATATTCAAATGTGCATTACATTAGGCAACATACATGCGAATTTTGAACCGATTTTCATGATTTTCAAAAGATCCTATGGAAATTTCTAGTTTAAATTCCATTATTAATACATTTCTATTGATGTCGGATATACAGAAACACAATTTACTAACTACTGTTATATTTATATTTAATATTATATTCTTCTATATTAATTCTTAGCGCTTAAATTGTCTGAAGGCAAAGGTTAATTACTGGAGCACGGCCTTTTGTGCCTCAGGTTTAATATCTCTAACATGTAATGAAATTGTATATAATAAAATATTATTTATAAATAAATAAATAATTTATACACATATGCCAATATTAAACTTTTAATATGATATAACTTCCAAGATAAAAAGCATTTTAAGTTTAGTAGTGATTGAAATTAACTAAATCTTTACACATATATAAAGTTTAGTATAGCTTTCTTTGAGATGAGCTATTTTCCCGCAGTAAAAAGTATCCTATATGTTGACCCGGATAACCAACTATAATCATAATAAATTTCATCATAATCTGTCCAGTAGTTTTCTCGTGACGCGGTTTCAGACAGACAGACAAAAATTCTAAAAACTATAGATTCGGCCTCTGTATCGATAATAATGACAATTTCAATAAGATTTTCTAAAAAATATTTAATGTACAGATTCGACTCAGTTATAATTTAATTATATGTATAGATAGATTTATATATGTATTTGCTTCAATGATTGCCGTGGTTCAGTCTCACGCTGCTCTCATTAACACTTCCAATTATACATATATATACCAGTATACAGATTAGACAACAGAATATTCAATTTGTGAATAAAACTTTTGATATTTCTAGTGTGGGTAAGGCGAAAGTACGAGCGTGTTTAGAAATCATAAGTCAAAGCGTGTTATGTTGATATTGGCCTTAAGAAATGTAAAACATATGAAGGTTTTATTAATCTTATTATTTTTTTTTTAAGAGCAATTCTTGTGTAATATATAGGTATACATATATAAATTTATTTCGTGTAACTCGGAAACGGCTCTAACGATTAAATTTTATATTAAGATAAGGTTTTTACTTCAGTTTAATCTAGTGACAATTTGTATCATTTCCGAAAAAGACCAAAAAAAGCCCGGTCGCCCAAGTACTAACATTTAAATGTATTACATTTAGTGAATAAAATATATTTTATAAGGATTTTTATATATATATGTCCCAATATTGATTAAGTTTCCAATGCAAGAAATCATTTAGCATCTGTCGTGCCGGATATTCGGTGAAGTAAATTGGACGCTCAAAGCCATCCACCCGGCACCCCGCTTGCCGCATGACTGCACCTTACTACTCGTCCAATTACCACTTGCACTATTCAGAAAATTCGTATTTTAATAGAAAAATAAAATAATATAAAAATAAAAAATAAAAGATATCAATCATCTATTTCTAAAATGAAAGAGTATCAAAAATTTCGCAGCACCAGGTGATTGCAAACAATTGGAACAAAATTAAAGTACCTATTTGTAAAAATTTATATCCATATTAATATTATAAATGTGAAAATCTATTTGTTTGTTTTTCATTCTTTGACGTCAAAACAGAGTGACGGTTTGGCGTGATTTTTTGTGTTAAGATAGTTGAAAGTCTGGAGAGTGACATAGGCTACTTTTTACCATGGATGATTATCTCTTTCCCACGGGAAAACGCGGTATAATACGACCCACAGGCCACAACATCTCATCATAAATAGTATACCTATTCCATACCAACTGTTAAAACGTACCTAGAAATGAACCCGAAACGAGAGTTAGCTGCTAGTATATTATATTTAATTAAAGCTTTTACAATCAGTTCGACCAGAAAAAAATTGCAGTTAAATTAAATAGGTTCTAGAATTGTATATCCATAAGAAAACATCTGTAGCAAAAACGCGATAATAATTTCAAGTTAAGGATAATTATTTAAAAAACTTATATAACAATTTCGTAACTTTTGAATTGAAAAAATAATTAGGTAATAAGTAAAAAATATTAGTTAGGTAATAAGTTTTTTTAGTTTTAAAATTAATATATATATGTTAGTCTTTAAGGTAGGCACATATGTAATGGGTCTGTGTTTACATATTTAAGACCTTTTTGTAAATATTGCCTGAAATAAATGATAAAATTAAATTAAATAGTAATACTTTCTTAGATTTACACGAATATTTTATTTTTTGATTCCTAACATTTCGAATGCTTTACAACCACGGTCACGAAAGAGAATAAAGTTTTAGACGTCTCAAAAATTATAATGTAGTTGTTACAGACTAATAGTTCTTTTAAAAATACTTTCGACATTTACGTTATATGTATATACGATATTCTAAATTTATTTACAATAAAACCGCAAAAATACCCGAAAAGATAGCTTTATTTAATATGGCAGCGGTAGCCCAGTGTTAACACGCTCGCTTGGGAAACCGAGTTGAGCGGGTTCAAATCCCGGGACTCGCATAATCTTTGATAATTTCATGTGTAAATCATTTCCAATATGAGTACTACTATTCTTACGGTGAAGTATAACATCGTGAGGAAACCTACATATCTGAGAGAACTTCGCAAGTTTTCGAAGAACGTGTGAAGTCCGCCAACGCGCACTTGACCAATGTGGTGGACTATGGCCTGAAAAAAAGATTATACTTTAAGAAAATATATTGGTCCCGCTGAGTTTCTTTCGCCAGTTCTTCTTAGGTCTGAGGCTTCTTCTTTCCGAACTGGTAGTAGACTCATGAAGTTCAAGTTCAGTAAAAAATTGTAATAATTTAATGC